CGCCCGCTTCGATCCCGAACGGCTCGACCAGCTCTAGACGATGAAGAGAAGGACCCTGCGATGAGAAATGCAGCTCAACAACTACAGCCAGTCGGAGAGACCCCATCCCTGCAGCGAGCAGCAAAGCAGATTGACTCTCTGCGGAACCACGAAGATGGACAATGGTCTCTGGCGCCTGACCTACGTCGGGAACTATATCGGCTGCACCGGAACCTCGGCCATCCTGACAACCAGACCTTTGTGCGGGCATTGAATCACGCCAACGCCAAGAGCGAGGTCATCGAATGGACCAAGAAGTTCTTCAACTGCCCACTATGCGAGGGTCGCCGGAAGCCTACAGCCCCTCGACCTGGATACCTGGCACGGAACCTTCCGTTCAACGAAGTGGTCGGCGTGGATACCTTCTTCTACAAGTTCCACGAGCAGGAGAAGATCTTCCTGAATTGCGTCTGCTGGGCCACAGGGCTGCAGATTGTGGAGGAGATCCCCCAGAAGACCGCCTTTCAGACCTTCCAGAGCTTCGCGAAGATCTGGTTGGTTCACTACGGCCACCCGACCATCGTGATCATCGATCAGGGGACGGAGTACACCGGCCAGGAGTTCCAAGGGCGACTACATGACATGGGCGTCATGGTGCATGCCATCGACGCTCGGAGCCCTTGGCAGAACGGCAAGACGGAACGGGCTGGAGGCATCTTCAAGGAAAAGCTCAGCCTCCTGCTGGAAGAAATCGTGGCTACCACGGAGGCGGAGTTCAGCCAGTGCGTGTGGGAAACGCAGATCGCACGCAACCGCTACATGAACAAGAGCGGGTTTTCGCCGTTCCAACGAGTGTTCGGATACACTCCCAGGTTGCCTGCTAGCCTGGCCTCGGACGATGTCTTGAATCCGATGCTGGTGCAGGAGAGTGCCACGGAGTCGATGAAGAGAGCCTGGCAAATCAGAGATGCCGCTGCCGCAGCATGGATGAAGCAGCGGGACTCCGAGATGATCAGGAACTCCGTGAGGAAGAAGACCCGAAATGACCAGAAGCCCTTGGAGGTGGGAGACTGGGTCTACGTGTGGCGGGACACCGAGAAGTACAAGGGATGGAGTGGCCCTGGAGTCATCATCGCCGAGAACGCCAACGGCAAGTCCTTGTGGATCAGCCTCCGGAACCACCTCATCAAAGCTTCTCGAGAACAAGTTCGCAATGCTACTTCAGAAGAACATCTTGGAGCCGAACTCATCCGGGAGCTCTCCAAGGAAATGGTTGACGACATCCACCAGGGCAAGATCAGGCACTATCACGACATCGAGTCGGAGGGTGGCCCTGGGGAGGAAGAACAGTGGCAGGTTACCGTCTCGGACCTGGGAGCTTTGGATGAGGATGGTAAGCAAGAAGTTTCTGCCGAACAACCACCAACGCCAGAACCTCAAGCACCACAACCTGGAGTTGCCAATCGAGACATGGAGATCGACGATGACGAGTACACGCCCGAGCACTTGGATGGTGTCCTCACTGGAGCTAATCGACCTGAGGCTGGAGACATCACCATGGAGGAGGATCCCACCAGCCTAGGCGACAACAGCACTAGAGCACCATCTGTGGCACCCGAGTCCACAGACGTCAACACGGCAAACGAGAGCCGACGGACATCTGTCCGAGTGGATGAAGGTCGTGAAAACCGAATAGAATTTGGACCGGTGAGGGCGCAGGATTCGGCATCGAGACCGATGCCATACCCGTTCTCTTCGGCATCACCTATTCCCTGGCCATCACCCACGTCACGATCGTTCTTCATGGAAGCAGTGTCCTTCGACGAGCCGAAGCCCAAGTTCACCAAATGGAGCGGTGACGGAGATGGAGCAGCCTGGTGGACCGATCGCCGGACTCAACGAAGCGGCATCGCGCCACTCGATGACAAGTGCTTCACCCTGAACGAGGCGGAGGGCTCGTACAGCTACAAGGACCGCTGCATATACTTGACTAAAGCGAAGACTTCGCCTGGACAGGTAGTCTTCAACAAGCTCTCGGAAGAACACCTGAAGATCTTTCGAGCGGCTAGGGCCAAAGAGGTGAATTCTCTTTTAGAGACCGGCGCCATCACCATCCTCTCTCCGGACGAGTCCCGCGACTTCCGCAGGGACTACCCCGAGGGCATCTTGGACTCTCGCTACGTGGACCGATGGAAACCATCTGGCAAGTTTGCGGTGCTGCCGGAGGAGTTCGACATGGAAGGCTTCGAGCCAGCCAAGCACGAGGGCCTGTCAGCGAAGTCCCGATGGTGTGTGGTGGGGTGGCAAGATCCAATGATCCACCACATCGAGCGCGCCGCTCCGACACCTCTGACCTCGAGCATGCGCCTGTTCTTTCAGCTGGCAGCCTGCAGAAAATGGCCTGCCAGAGTGAAGGACGCGAAAACTGCATTCTTGCAGAGCAAGCCGACCACCCGGTCGCGGAAGCTGGCATGCAGAATGCCACGAGACGAAGCCTTTGAGGGCTACCGCGAGGACCAGCTGATCATGCTCAACACGGAAGTGTACGGGCTTGTCAGTGGGCCAGCCTGCTGGAGACGCAGTTTCCTGGAGATCCTGGTCAAGCAGCTCGGATACCGCATCAACTGCTTTGATCGCTGTGTGCTGACCCTGGACTCAGAGAGCCGGGAGACTAACGCAGCCACGCAGGGGATGATCGTCATCGAAGTGGACGACGTGCTCGAGGCAGGCAACAAAGAACATCAGCGCAGGATGAGTGCCCTGGAGTCAATGCTCAAGTTCGGGAAAGCCGTGGAGTTGCAGAGTGATGCAGCTGGCACTGGGTTTGCCGGACGGCGAGTTTGGCAAGAGGCGGATTTTTCCTTCAGCATCACGATGCAGGACTACATCCAGAGCCGCTTGAAACCCGTCCGTCTTGAGGCCAAGACCTTGAAGTGCCAGGCCAAGGATAAGACGCTATCCGCAGAAGAGATCTCTCAGCTCAGAGGGACTCTGGCCAGCATCAACTGGGTTGCTCGTGAGGGACGCCCTGACGCCTCAGCAGCAGCTAGCATTTTGGCTGGATGTTTTCCGACGCCTTCGGTCGCCGATGCCATGGAGGCCAACCGCGTCGTGGCCAAGATCAAGGGCCACCACATCCAGCTCAAGATCCACAGCTTCCCGGAGGAGGAATTGCGGCACTTGCTGATCGCCGACAGCTCCTTCGACCCAAGTGGCAAGTCAAAGCCACAGCATGGGTGGCTGCAAGCCACCACCACAGACCAGCTCAACCTCGGCAAGACCGCTCCGGTGTCTCTGATCACTTGGAGATCCCGGAAGCTTCGCCGAAAAGCCGGATCTACGAACCTGTGCGAGGCCATCAGCATGTCCACCGCGCTTGGATCCATGGAGAAGCAGGTGGCAATGCTGGAGTCGCTAAGGTTCTCCCGGTACAGCCCAAGGCACCGTTTGGAGATCGAGGACGACGGAGGATTGCAAGGCGAAGCATCGGTGATCGCCTCGGAGAATCCTACATTTCAGGACCCCGCCATGATCGCGGTCATTGATGCCAAGTCAGTCTTTGACTCGGTCAAGAATGAGCAAGCGCAAGGAGAAGATGATCGAGCTGCCTTGGAGGTCGCGCTGATCAAGGAGTCGCTCAGCAAAGTGAGAGGCCGCATTAGATGGGTTCCCCATAACGAGAACCCGGCAGATATGCTGACAAAGGTCAGCGGGGCACACGAAGAGCCCATGATGAGGCTTTTGGCCACTAACACGTGGCGCCTCGAGAAAGAAGAGGAAGTCCTGGCACAAGGCCGGCAAGGACTTCACCGCCGCAAGACGACGGCCAAACCCACTTCAGTTTTGGGGGCTGAAAGCATGTAAACCACCGTTATGGGTTTGGCATGTCGCCTCTTGCAGGCCTTGAGTCATATGCGCTGACGCAGACAGTAGATGGAAGGAAAAGGCGTTAGCCGCCTTTAGCACTTTCTACCCACACTTTGCTTATTCTAAGCTAGTGTTGAATAATTGTGTTTGAATGTTTACTCATGTGTAAAGACGATCATACTGGACAGGGAATCCAGCAAAACTTTTCGTCTGAATCTGAAGAGTAATTATTTGATATCTAATTTTAAGAAGTTATGTGTCTATCGCACTGTTGCGCAGCTTTTCAACTTTCACGTGCGTTCGCGGGCGGGCGTCAGCAAGGCGAGGGGTGGGTAGATGTGTCTTTTGCGCCTGAGTTGAGTGAGAGCACCCTGGTACTTCGATCTTTGACGCGACGAAGTCCGTCAGCAACGCTTGGGTTTCACGAAGAAGAAAGCTTTCGGGCGGAAGTCGACGGGCACGAGGGGTTCTATTGCGACGATCGACTTTCCGACCAAGCGACGAGGCAACGCCCCGAGCCCTGCGCCAATGTCCGACACGTGTCTGACGGTCGTTGGCTCTTTTGTGCTTGGGCCCCAAATTGCACGCTGCTGTTGCACTGTAGTCCAAAAGACGTTGGTGGCGGGCCGAAAGCAAACACATGCTTCCGCTGTGCGGCTGTTTGCGGATATCCTTATACACATGCTGCGTCTCATTGGCGAGTACGTTGCTGGAACTTGTGAATGCCTGCGCGCGCACGCACACACACACAGACACACACACACACACACACCCACCCACCCACCCGCCCGCCCGCCCGCCCACCCACCCACCCACCCACGCACACACGCACAAACGCACACACACACAAACGCACAAACGCACACACACACACAGACGTGTTCTCGCTTCTTGGCCCCGATGATGCGGGATATGGCGAAGTTTCCGACCTACATCATGTGGCGCTGCTGTGTTAAAGCAAGCGGGGGGGATATGTCCTCAACCTTTGCTTTTGTGGGTTGGTTGATTTGCGCGGTCAGCCAGTCTACCCCAAACCGCTATATAGAAAACCAACGGCCCCCCCTTCTCGCGCGTCCTGCTGGCCTTCTGCTTGCATCCTTTGTGCAGCAATGAATCCATGTCGCATCCATTGCAGAGGTTTGTTCTTTGTACAGGATCCCTTCGGGGAGTTCTTTGTCGTTGCAGATGCTTCCGTGCCGCTTGAAGACCTTTGGAATCGCCGCTCGGATTCGCAAAATTTGGGCCGATTCGAAGCTGTGTTGCGCAACCAGTCAAGGCATGTACTCGCTGGAGTTGGAGATGGTGCCGAGCTTCATGACATTGGAATTGGCAAGAAAGATCCTTCTCACAGGCTTGCACATTGTGCTCTGGCAAGTTCATGTGCTGTCAACCCCTTCCTCCAGGCAAGTCTGTGAACTTCATTCGGCTTTGCTGTCCCGGGTTGACGTGGATTCCAAGTTCCGGCTGGGCACTTGCGAGAACAAATGCGCTATCCAGACTGAACAGATCCGTGAAAATCCCAAGGCATGGCGCGCTGGGAGTTTGGAGGGTCTGATGAGGCAGGGTGGGCAGGGAGGGAGTGAAAGACCGCTCTGTTCCTCTTGCGATAGGACCTGGCAGGCCCAGCCCAGCACTCAGATATTGAGAATCGAGATGTTTTTTGCGCGGCGTGCCAAACTCCAAGTCTGTTTTGTAATGAAAGAGGTCTTGCAATTGGAGCTTTGCAGAACGGAGATGTCCATTTTGTTCGACAACGGAGTGCCTCCAACATTGGGAGACGGGATGTAAGAAGAGGCCTCCAAGTAGCACAAGGCACCAGTGCGGGGCACTGGCGGCACTAGTGTGAGGTCGAACGAGCAGCGCTTGAGACCAACGAGCGACTGGTGAAGCTCCTGATGGATCACTACTGCCTGGGTGCGCATCCGCAGCTCCCAAGAAGAAAGCGAGCGCCGAACAATTTACCAGAGATAAGAGTAGTTGATGCAGCTTTTCTATTTAACCGCCGTTGGCGTGTTCCGCCGGCTCCCGCGGCTTCAGGCTGTCCGGGAGTAAAGGACAGTAGAATAAAGCATGGGCGCTACAGCCGTGTCTGGCAGCATCAGTTGCACAGTCACGCAATAGGGTCGGATCCATGAATGCAGCGAAAAGTGGTCCCATCCAAGCACGGGCTCATCTTTAGGGCCATCCTTAGAAGTGCCTTCGCAGAGATCCAAGGACAAATGTCATTCGATGGAGAAGGCTTCATGGAGGCCTATTCAAGTATGGCCAAATCATCCGGCTATACGGAGGAAACACTCAACTTATCGATGACCGCCAAGCAGCCGCCGTCGTACGACGGAAAAGTCAGCTGGTTCAGGTATGAAGAACTCGTGGACGACTGGGTGACAATCACCACGGTGGAAGCACCCAAGAGAGGACCACTCGTCAAAAGCAGACTCACAGGAGATGCTTGCATGTACAAGGCAGTTCTCCAAAATGACCTTTTGCAAGATCCTGATGAAGGAGTCAACTATTTCAAGAGCACGCTGAAAAAGTACTTCCTGAAAGGTGCGGCCAACGTGTATCTGTACAGGCTCCTCACTTTCTTCGATCACAGAAGGCAGAAGCCAAGAGTTCCTCATTTTCACATCCAAATTCGAAACCCTTCTCATGAGAGTGAAGGCAGTGTGGATGGACTTGATGCCCGTCTACACGGCACAGCCCCCATCATTTCGACAGTCCGTACAGGACGCAAACAACAGAACAATCGCTCGACATCAGCAAGCAGCCGGTACTCGAGCACCGCCTCCAGTCCTGCTAAATGAGGATGATCCGACAGTCCTCAGACAGTATATCACGGGAATGCAGGACAGACAGCGGGACGCATTTCCCTTCGGGAATAATCTCATTGCGCAGTTTTTCATCATTCAGAGTGAATTGTCAGATCAGCAGAGAGAAAGACTGACCAGCGCCCTGTCACTGAGAAACATTTCACTCGAGAACTACTCCTATGAGATGCTGAAGACGCATCACCCTGAACTCTTCATCACGACCAGGACATCCATCCAAGATCCATCCATCCGACCTCAAGGAGGCAACCGAAGCAACACATTCTTCATCCTCGAACAAGGTGAATACGAAGGAGAAGAATGCTTTTGGGTTGAAGATGAAGAAGGACTTAAAGGATTCATGTCAAACAACGATGAAGAGACATTCTGGGTCCTCGAAGAGAACGATGCGTTCATAGCAAGAAAAGTGTCAGGGCGGAATTTCAGATTCAAAAAGAGAAAAGGAAAATGAAAATCAGGAAACAAAAAGGGCAGTCACCAACGAGGTGGCTTTAAACCCTTTCGAAAAAGCGGTTCTGGCGGGAAGGCCAATATGGCCAATGAAAACTATGATCCCTACGACCAGGCATATTGGGGAAAAGGCAAAGGAAAGAAGGGAAAGAAAGGAAAATCCAAATTCCAATATCCCTATGATGGAAACAAAGGTTATCCATCGTATGAGAATGGCAAAGGAAAAGGCGGACATGACAAAGGAAAATCCAAAATGTTCGCAGCCATCGCAGAGAAGCCGGAGGAGCATCCTGCCACGCAGCAAGTTGCTGAACTCCAAGAGCCTGCCTATGCCGGTAAAGCTAAATTCGACCGTGGATCTCCGATAACACACAACTCCTCCACGCAGTACCAACATCGACGTCCTTAAACAAGGAGCTGCACCGACCCTCCTCAGCATCAGTCAGATGCGGAACCTCTACATGACCATCGAGCACTGACAAGATCACACGCAAGGCCTTTGGCGCGGACCGTCAAGCAGTTCCAGTATCCGACCTCGCTGGAGTTGCAAGAGTGAAAGCATATGGAGAAATTGCCATCAAGGGCCTCACCAACTACGTCTACGATGATGACAGCAGCATCAAGTTTCCCTCCGGGGATATCTCCAAGAGTGAAACTGTTTGTGCATCCAAATCATCCGAGACGAAGGAGGACCTAGCAACTCCAATCATTGGGTCTCAAAAGCAGGACCATTGGATCCTTGATAAGAAGAACAAGCAGCTCATCCGTGTGCGCATCACGCCTTGCAAGGCGCTGTTCACACCAAATGGAGCCAAGGAATGTCCAATCAATCCTGATAACATCAGCCGAGAGCATGCCACGGAAATCATAGATGCATCCAAAGGTGGAGATCCAGAAATCCTAGAGGACAATTGGAGACTTACATCCCAGGCAATCAAACCAATGATTAACCTGTGGAAAAGTAAGACCATTTTCACCTTCGCGGACAATTCGCTTAAGGACGAAGCAGGTTCCGGGTCGGCAGCAGACAGGATCATCGACAAGAAGGGCCGGTCGACCATTGAGCCAGATCCTTTCGCACCATCCTCAGATGAACCCACATCGCTTCCGATCAGAATCCACAAGCGATTGTCAATTCCCGAAGAGTTGAAGAAGCTCCACCTCCAGCATCATAACATGACAACAGATCAATTTCGATTCAGAACTCGTTCGCTTCACTTGCCAAAACCAACAATCGATCTATTTGACAAAATCCGAAGTGAATGTGAAGTTTGCCAAGCGGCAAAACAATCACCATCACGAAGCAAAACGAGTGGACTTAGAGCGGACACCTTCGGTGGCATGACATTCATTGATCACTGTCAAGTTCCTCTTGGAACAGGAGAACACATCATTGTTTTTGTCATCCTGGATGGAGCAACAACATTGCTCCAGTGACAACTACGCAAGAAGTCGAGAACATCACTGTCCTCAGGAACTATTTTGACCAGTACCACTTGTTGTCGCAGATCAAGCCTTCATGACGGAGACATGGGAACATTTCCATCACACCGATATCCTTGGGACCGAACACACCATGGCCAAATCGAGCTGAAGCTGCAGTTCGACTCCTGAAAGCACAACTCAAGATCATGCTAAGTTCCATCAAGGCAGGCGCAGCACCTGCAACACTGAAGAAAGTGACATATAGCCTACGGGGGTGTAACAGCATTGGATCTCGCATTCGGAAGACGACCAGCAGATCTCACCCAACTCGATGTCGCAACACCAACTCAGTTGACGATTGACAGGAATGAGGAAGAGATGACAGCCATCCAGATCAAGCAGCTGTCTAAGCAAGCATTCCAAGAAGCGCGTCAATCCGAAGACTTGCTCAAAATCTCCGAATGAGTTCTAAGCCTCTTCAGGTGAAGGACAAGGTATTTTACTGGCAGGAAGACAAATCCAAGATCCGTTCCGATGGAAGCAAGGGAGGAATATGGCTAAAAGGAAAAGTCATTTCCATCGAAGGAGCAATGGTAGGACTTGATCTTGGGACTCGACTCATCAAGGTTAACATGATGAAGGTCAGAAAGGATGAAACCATCCCTCGGGGAAACCTGGAATTGATCTTCTCTTACCAGAAGAGCGAGAATCCTTGCAGAAGGGCAAGACGGCTCCTCAGCCGACTCCAAGAAGAAGGAGTCATCCGCACCAGCTCCTAAGCCAAAATCCTCAGTGCCATTACGCATCGCGGGAAAGACAACTCCCAAGCCTGCAGCACCTCATCCGGCAGAGAACATGTTCGTCGAGGACCTCACATCCGTTCCTGAACAAGCACATTGGAATTCAGATCCATCCGTGATCTGGGGAGATTTCCATTTCTGCGCATACGGACTGAAAGATCCTGATTCCGGACTCAGAAGTCTCAAGCCCACGAGCTTGATGCACTGTTTACCTCCCGAGGTAACGAGACCAATCTTCAGAAAGTGTAAGAATTTTACCAGCGCAGTCAAACACGAACATCAACCCCTCGAGGGAAATGCTGGTACTTTCGGAAGCAGAACCAAACTGACACAGGTGTATCCTTACCAGTTCTGTCAGGATCTCGCGCACATCCTCCTGCGACACTTGAAGGTGAAGCCGCTTGACAACGAGGTGTACCTCTTGGAAGACCTTTTCGAACCATTCACCATCAAGCAAGTTGACATCCTAAGAAAGGAGATGGAAGCCATTGACAAAGAGTTCAACATGACCAGCACACCAGAAGACGATGAAGCAGTACCCTCCGGGGACTGAAATCGATATCTTCAAACAAGATCCTAATGACTGGCAATGTCAGAACATGTGGAATGGTTGCAAGAAGTTGAGACAATTGTGCATCTCATCCACTCAGTATGATGCATGCGCAGCATACGTCCACACCATCGGCATTAACATGCCAATCACGTCACCTCCGGACGATGCGTCAGCTGAATAGAATTTGGGTCTTGCCTGCATCCAAATGCAATTGGGAGAATTATGATCCGAAGACTTGGCACGCAGTGATGTTTTTATCCGTTCATCAGTCATTCTCAGATGCGCCGGCTATCAAGCCGATGCCCATCGAGACGGATCCAACAGATCCAACGGATGAACCTCAACAACCTGGCACAGCAGCCACCTGATCAACCGGACCATCCCATGCCTGATCCAAGACCTCCAACTCCACCGGACAAGCACATGCCAGATCCTGCTCCGGATCCTCCACATCAGCCTGATCAAAATGATCGACCAGATCATCCCATGCCGCCAGCACCACGAGGTGTATCACCAGACAGTCCAGTAGATCCACCGCTGCCGCCGCACGACAAACCTGGCGGAGGAGATTCAGCGCTTAAACGGCAAAAGCAGTCCATTTCATCCTCAAGCGGGCTCAATCGACTGGGGGGTGATGTCTCTTTGCCGTCACAGTCGCAATCATCTCAACCAATTCTTCCGACTGTCGTGGTACCTTCGCCGCTTGCAATTCTAACGAATCCCGAAGCAGAAGACTATGATGAAGATCTTGAACTGCCAACACCTGAGCAAGAAGAAACAACTGCACCCGTGCAGGGCAGTCCATCCAAGAAGCAGAAAACTGGGAAGAAGAAGAAGAAGCCAGATGACAATGATGAG